TGAGCATGAGCGAAAGCCTAGTGAATAATATCAAATAAAGAAGATACACGAACGGCATTTAGAACAACATACATCAGATGGCCTTGGGCCCAATTCATATTTCTATCTAGTATATATATATACATAGGTCAAGTGACTGCGGTTCCAAACACATCAAACGGCCTCGGGCCCAATTCATTCATATCCGACTGCCATTGGCCCAATCGTTCCTGTCTGACGGCCTTTGGCCCAATCATTCGTGTCAAACGACCTTCAGCCCATTTATTCATTCATGTCAAACAGCCTTTGGTCCATTCATTCATGTCAAACAGCCTTTGGCCCATTCATTCATGTCAAATGGCCTTTGGCTCATTCATTCATGTCAAACGACCTTTGGCCCATTTATTCATTCATGTCAAACGGCCTTCATTTATTCATTCATGTCAAATGGCTTTCAGCCCATTTATTCATTCATGTCAAACGACCTTCAGCCCAATCAATTGTACCCAACGGCCTTTGGCCCAACCATATGGCATAACAAACATTTGTCCACAATTCAAATTAACAACTTATAAGACTTGTATGGGAATGAGCAATTGGACAAATAACATGCTTCAAAATATCTTTACTGAGATATTACTCACAATGTTCTGCCGGCAGATTTGTCCTGGAACTCGACCCTACACATTTCATGAACATAATGGGTCACAAACAATTCAATCCGTTCTTAATTCATACATCCCTCTTAGGCTTCTTTCTTATCCTTTTAACTCATTTATGATGCTCAATACATGCCTAAGAGTGCTTAGAAATGAAAGAGAACAGAAAATGAAACACAAAACACCTTTACAAAATTTCTGAAACAGGGGTCCCTGCTCAAGCGGACCCTCATGATCTGCAAAAGTACAGGTTGCCTCATTTTTATGCTCGAGCGTGAATTCGGACGCTCGAGCTAAAAGTCACACTATATGGCTCCTCGCTCGAGCGTGAATGTCCCCACTCGAGCGGACATCAATGTCTGCAAAAATTCTGGGAGCTCGTATTTCACGCTCGAGCGGCGTTTTCCCCGTTCGAGCGGACATGCCAAATTTTGGGTTTCCCAGAACTGTTCTTCAAGTTTAAACTCATGGTCCAAAGGTTCAAACTCAAGTTTTTTGGACATAAAAACATATAAACACATTACATAATGTGAGGACACAACCAATATGAAGCCGATTGTTCAAAGTCATAATCAAACTCTCAAATTAATCATCATTCCCTTGTACGGTTGAAACCCATGCATTCAAACTTCATTTAATATTCATATTTCCCTTAATCAAACATGCATGTAATTTTGACTCCAATTCTAGTGCAAATAACACTTATAATTGTGAAACTCATGGAGATTATACATGCATGTGAGATTTGGTGCCCCATTCTCCTTGTTTAACATGATTTATGCTCAACTATGCAAATTCATAGCAATTCTATGCATGCATGTACATATAAGCTTTCAATTCTTCAATTTCATCTCAATTGATGTTCTTGATCACCCAACTAGCTTGAATGCACAAATTTACAAACTTATACTCATGAATTCATACTCAAGTGCTTACCTAGAAGCTCAAATCACCCAATTTATGGTTAATTCTTGAGTTGATCTTCAAGGTTTTCAAGCTTCTTGATTAATTCTTCAACTTGAGCCTCCTCTCTCTCTAACCGACCCACACACTCTCTCTCTCTAGAGTGTAATCTCAGCAAAAATGAATTCAAAGAGAGGAATTGTGTGTATAGAGGCCTATTTATAGGCTCTCTTGGTCAAAGTGATTAGGATTAAATAATGGAGCTTAATTAATTGTTCTGAATCTAATTATTTTGATCCGAACAAACTTTCAATTAAATTTCACCGTAGGCTCTAAAAATTACGCTAATCACAATGGCGTAATCAATTTTGGATTTTGTGGCCGATAGGGCCTTCAATTTAAATTTTAAGGCACAAAATCAAACAAAATTTTCCTACGGTGAACAGATAGAAATTCAAAACCACATATATTCATATAAATGGCACTCAAAATCATATCAAACACATAAACACAATCATAATTTGGATTAATTAGCATGATATGGAACAGGGTTATCACAGTTGTCTTATGGGTTAAGTTATTTAATTAGTTTTATTTATGTTTCTTATTATAATAGTTTCATTTTTTTATTCAAGTTGGTTTAGGAAGTCTCTAAAGTCTATATAAAGTCATGTAATACTTGTAATTCAAGGGAATTGATATTTTATAAAAATTTGAGAGTTTTGAAGTTTCTTTATGGATTGTGTGATGCAATCAAACCCCCTATGGAATCTAGGTGCGATGTATAGACCTATCTTATTCTCTTCTTTCTTCTTCTTTTCTGTTTCAATTTACTATTCTCGAATTACTATTCACAACCATCTAAAAGTGCACTTTTCAACCTCAAAACCCTATCCATTCATCCCTTTTTGTAGCTTCAATCTCTCCCTTTAGCTTGACATTCTCGCTTTCACATGCTTTGAGCTTAAGAGTGAGTTTGTCATTTATCTTGGACAAATTCAGAGATTCATCATAAAGCTTTTCATAAGCTTGTTGTAGGTCATCACCATCAATCTCATCATTGTTTTCCGAGGTTTCATTATCCTCTTTTTGCTCCTCTTTCTCTTGGATCTCATCTAGTTGAGCAACTAAGCCATGAAAATTGATAAATGGTGATGAAGATGACTCTCCTCTTTCATGAAATTGACTCAGAATGTCCCATGCATCTTTGGCCTTTGTGCAGTGAGCAATCCATTGCTGTTCTTCATTAGAATTTGCTTCACCAATGGTAGTTAGAACTCTTTGATTGCTCAAATTGTTAGTGCTCTCAACATCCTCTTTAATGGCTTGCCAGCCCTTAGGGTCTTAAGCTCTCAGAAACATCCTCATTCTGATCTTCCAGAACAAGTAATTACTCCTATCAAAGGTAGGACCATGGTGCAGATTCTGACCATGAGCAAATTCCACTAGCTTTGGAGGAGGTTGAGTGATAGTAGACCAGAATGCCATGTAAATACTATCTCCTTCTTCAATGAATTAGGTTTCTTTGGGTTTTTTCTCTGACTCGCTTTCATTATCCCAAGTCACTGTATAGACTTTCTTTTGGTTCTTTTTCAATAGACATTCAAGAGCAATATGTCCAAACCCTTGACATTCATAACATTTGACCCCTTGCCCCTTCCCAGTATTCTTTTCAGTTTTAGGAGCAATTTTTGGTGGAAAAATTTTGGGTTTTTCATTACTCTTATCTTTTGAAAGAGGGTCCATGAAATTAGGCTTCTTTTTCTTTACATTTTTTTTGAACTGTTTAGTAAACTTAGCTGTCATCTCGGACTCTAGATCAAACTCAATCTCAGAGGTCTTTGCAGTCTCATGAGCACTAGTGAAAGCCACACTATCTTTTTGTTTTTTCTTAGAAATCTGGTGGGTTTCATAAATCTGCAAGTTTCCAACCAACTGATCAAGCTTGAGGGTATCAACATCCTAAGCCTCCTCAATAGTTGTAACTTTTGATAGGAACCTCTCGGGTAAAGACCTCAAAATATTTCCAACAACCTTAGCTTCAGGGATTTTTTCACCTAGTGTGAAACAAGAATTCACGATGTCACTAAGTTTAGCATAAAAATCATCAAACGTCTCATCATCAAGCATACAAAAAAGTTTCAAAAGCGAAGCTAAGACGTTGAAGTTTTGACCTTTTAACAGAAGTAGTACTCTCGTGAATAGTTTCAAGAATATCCCAAGACTCTTTTGCTAGCTCACAAGTACAAATATTACGAAACTCTTCTTGTGTGACGGAGCAAAAGAGGGACTTGAGAACCTTACTGTTCCAACTCAAATTTTGATAATCGAATGCATCCCATTTATCAAGAGGTTTGAGAATATCAACACCATCAATGGTGACAATAGGTTCACTCCACCCATAGATCACACAGTGCCAAACTTTCTCATTGATAGATGTTAAAAATGTCCTCATACGAGCTTTTCAATAAGAATAGTTTGTACCATCAAGTGACAGAGGTCTATGGGTTGAGTTACCTTCACGCATTGAATCCATATCACCAATCACATAAAATCACACTTCTATAGTTTTGATAAAAAACAAAGAGTGACCCGCTTTGATACCCATTGAAAAACTTAAGTGATTCGTGATTAGATCAAGATTTAATTGTACCAATTCCCAAACAATCAAAAATAACAATCTAAATCACCAAGCACGTACGAAAGTGATTTAGATTGTTGTTTCAGAAACAATAAATAGACATAAACGATTTTTACATGGAAAAAATCACTATTTGAGCACCTCCAATTGTGATTAAAAAAACCGCGGGCGAAACACCACAAATCAATTCACTATGAAGGAAAGAAAGAATACAAAATACCCAAACAAATTACCCAAACTCTGTCAATTTCTCTTCAACTCTTTGTATATCTTCCACCGCAACCTTCATCTCAGGATTAATTAGATTGATGTTGATTCCACAACATCCACGTCAACTCAATAACCGCGCATAGTTTCGAACACCTTCGAACACTCCACACTTGAATTTCTGGATTCCACTGAAGAAGAACACTCTTAAAGATGATCACTCAAATAACCCTTTGATGTGAATTAACAAACCATGTGAGTTTAATACTCAAGTAAACATCAAAGGAAAACTGGCAAAACAACCTCTAAAAGAAAGCCCTAGAGCTCCCAAAACAGATCTAGAAGCATTAAACCTAAAAACGGACCTAAACACATATATATAGAAAACAGGGGCTGTGTACCCCGCTCAATCCCAGGACTTGTCGCTCGAGCGGAGTCACTAAAACACGTGTGGTTAAACAGGTCTCCGCTCGAGTGCAAAAACACGCCTCCTAGTATTTGTGTAGACAAGTCAAACTACTGAGATGGTGCAAACTCCGCTCGAGCACAAATGTTCACGCTCGAGTAGGAGGACCAAACAGCAAGGAAGATGCCTTCTTTTTTAGGAGATGTCATTGTTGGAGAAATATGAAGAAGACAACTAACAAAGTTGCACATATCACAAGAGCAACCACCACAACCAATATCATTTTCAGCTTGTGAGACAACTTATTCTTGCTTGATTTGGAGGATGAATAAGGAGAAAGGTCTAATTTTGCAATTCCTCCACATAGATGATTATTTCCAACTGAAATCGCACTCGTATTTTGAAACACTCCTTGTATTAGAACTTGTCCATGTAACCTATTAACAGACAAATTCAAGATATCTAGTTGAAACTCACCTAGATAACTTGGGATCAGCCCCGACAAATTATTGTGCGAAAGATCTAACAATCTTAAACCCCTTAGCGTTCTCAAACTTTGAGGTATCTCTCCTTCAAATGAATTATTTTCCAACTCAAGCCATTCCAGACTCAAACAACTACCAAGAATGTTTGGTATGGATCCTAATAATTTGTTATGGGACACATCCAAGTTTCCACGATTTTTCAAAGAACCGATTTCTAATGGAAGAGAACCGGACAGTGCATTCTGACCTAACCAAAGCAATTCTGAAAGGGTTGAGGGCTTCATAATTTCAGGGGGTATTGGACCATTAAGATTATCTTGAGAAAGGTCTAATTCCAACAATCTATGACAATTTCCCAAACTCGTAGGTATGTTTCCATGGATGTTGTTTTGTCCCAAGTAGAGAATAATCAACGAAGTCAAATTACCAAGCGAAGATGGAAGTTGTGTGAATTTGTTTTGGTGTAACCCCAGAGCTTGAAGCTTATGAAGTCTATCAATGGAGGATGAAATAAGGCCAATAAGATAATTCTATGCCATACTTAAGCTAGTGAGGTTGACGAGGTTCCTGATGCTTGAACGAACGCTTCCATGTATTTGATTTTCCTCCAAATCTATCCCGTAAAGATATGTGGAGAGATTAGCTATGGAGTCAGGCAATGAACCTCTAAGAAGATTTATAGCCGCATCAATATTATGTAAATTGGTGCAATTTGTTAGAGAGGAAATAAAAGTAAGATAATCTTGGAACCAATTTTTAGAAAGGCTTATCTCTCGACGACCTAGAAGTTTTCCAAGATCTTTCCGCACTGTCCCACTGAAATGATTAAAAAAGAAGTTTATCACTTCAAGCCCCAAAGCATTTCACAGTGAAGTAGGAAGTGTTCTAGTAAATAAATTGTCCAAAAGATAAAGAGCTTGGAGATTAGGAAGTGTGGAGCCTATATCAGCAAGAATATTTCCCTTAAGTTGGTTGACACCTAGTGCTAAAAAATTGATGTTGGAGATATTGTAAAGCCCGAAAGGAACCTTGCCGGATAGGTTATTCACAGATAACTGGACGAATCTCAGGCCTCGAAGCCTACCAATTTCCCTCGGAATCTCCCCTTGCAAATTACAATACATGAAAGAGAGTTTGGAAAGAGATGAGAGGTTTCCTATGGATGGAGGGATGGTCCCGGAAACGTTGTTTCTAGCCAAGCTTAAAGCTCCAAGATTTGATAAAGAGCCTAGCTCAGGTGGGATGGTTCTGGTCATGTAGTTGACCATCAAGTTCATGTTAGGGAAAATAGATCATTTCCCACAAGTAAATCAATCAATGGGAATAAAAACTAATGTGGAAAAATTTTCACGTGGTTCCCTCAATGTGAGGTACGTCCACGGGATCGAAATTTGATTCCACTATCAACCAAAGAGTTTCCAAACGATTACAAACGAGACACAAATGGTATTACAAAATCACCCTTAGGTGAATTCTAAATAATCACAAATAATCAAGAGGAAAAACCTCACCAAATAGTTGAACAAAAGTCTTCGAAACAGAGTTGTAGAAAACCCAAAATAATAACCCAAATCAATCTCCAAAGCACCAGCCGAAACCACACTGACATTGCTTCAGAGCAACCCAAGATTCAAAGCCAAGAAAACCTTCCAAGCATTAGTCCAAAATAGCAACAAACCAAAGCACCAATCCACTTAAACAAAGATGATCAATTAGCATCCATTAGCTGTTGCTCTCTTCAAAAGAAACAATATATATAAATATATTATTGATTCTTGGGCTTTTTTTTTTTTTTTTTTACAAAATCCTAATTGCTACCAAACTGAATATTAAATACTCATTGGGCCTCCAAAAGGTAGATATAACATATTAAAAATATATTATAATCAACACCAAACCGAACTAAATATTTTAATAAACCAATTGGGTCTCATACTCTAATAAGGAGGTATACCCAACAATTCTCCCCCTACCGACTTAGGTGGAGACATCAACCATACCCGCCAAAGTTTGATACTTTAAATGTTTGTCCCTCGACAAAGTCTTAGTCAACATATCCGAAATATTATCATCTATGTGAATCTTGTTGAGTTGCAACAATTTCGAATCTAACACATCACGAATCTAATGGTATGTCACATCAATGTGTTTCGATCTTGAATGAAAAGTAGAATTTTTACTTAAATGAATAGCATTTTGACTATCACAATAAAGCACATACCTCTCTTGCTTCAAACCCAACTCTTGCAAAATTTCTTCAACCATAACTCTTCTTTGCAAGCTTCTGTAATGGCAATAAATTCAGCTTCGGTAGTTGAGAGAGCAACACATTTTGTAATTTAGATTGCCATGTCACAGCTCCCCTTGCAAATGTCATCAAATACCCTGAAGTAGATTTTCTAGAATCAACATCACCAGCCATGTCAAAATCCGTGAACCCATCAAGCATCAACTTACCATCACCAAAACACAAGCATACCTTCGAAGTCCCTCGAAGATATCTTAGAATCCACTTTACTGCTGCCCAATGTTCTTTACTCGGATTAGAGAGAAAACGACTCACCACACCAACGACTTGAGCAATATCCGGCCTTATACAAACCATGGCGCACATCAAGGAACCAACCGTGGAAGCATAAGGAATTTTTAGTATCTCTTCCTTGTCTTTCTCACTTATAGGACATTGATTCAAACTAAGCTTGGAGTGACCCGCAAGTGGACAAGCAACTAATTTTGCTTGATCCATGTTGAACCTCTCCAGCACTTTCTCAATGTAGCTTTCTTGAGACAACCAAATCAATTCCTTTTTGCGATCACGAATAATTTTCATACAAAGTAGTTGCTTTGCTAGCCCCAAATCTTTCATAGCAAAAGACTTGCTCAACTCCAATTTTAACCTGTTAATCATAATGTAATCTTGACCCACAATTAACATGTCATCAACATGAAGCAAAAGAATAATAAATTTTCCATCTGAAATTTTTTTCATAAACATACAATGGTCCGAAGTGGTTTTACAAAAATTATTATTCATCATGAAAGAGTCAAATTTTTTGTACCATTATCACGGGGCTTGCTTGAGGCCATACAAACTTTTCTTCAATTTTCAAACAAATTTCTGTTTCCCTTTCTCTACAAAACCTTCCAGTTGCTCCATGTAAATTTCTTCTTCAAGGTCGCCATGAAGAAATGCGGTCTTCACATCAAGTTGCTCAACTTCAAGGTTCATACTCGAGACCATGCCAAGTATAACCCGAATAGAAGACATCTTCATAACCGGTGAGAAAATCTCATCAAAGTCAATCCCTTTCTTTTGCCCAAAGCCTTTCACAACAAGAAATGCTTTGTACCTCAGATTCTTGCCATCATTCTTCAATTTGAAGACCCACTTATTTTTCAGAATTTTCCTCCCTTTAGGCAACTTCACTAAATCATAAGTGTGATTTTCAAGCAAGGAATTCAATTCCTCTTCCATGGACTTTGTCCAATCACTTTTCTTTGCATGCTCAACTGCTTCTTGGTAGCTCTCGGGCTCCCCTTGCTCGGATATCAATACAAATTCATTGAGAGGATACTTTCTTGAAGGTTGCCGGTCCCTTGTAGATTTCCTCAACTCAAGTTATGGTGGTGATTTTTGAGTTGGATGCTCTTCCTCAATTTCTGGCTAAATTTCGTTTGGAGTAGCATCATCATCTACATCTTCATGAGGTGGTTGCACATCTTCCATTTCATCATCAACTAAAGATGAAGGAGATGGATCCATGTCAATGAGATCACTAGTTTTTGGCTCCAGTTGATTACCTTTGCCAAAGTCTTCAATTGTTTGGTCTTCAAGAAACACAACATCATGGCTTCGAATAACTTTCTTGTCGACCGTATCCCACAATCTATAACCAAATTCATCTCGCCCATAGCCAAGAAAAATGCATTGTCTTGACTTGCTGTCAAGCTTGGACCTCTCATCCTTTGGAATGTGAGCAAAGGCTCGACAACCAAACACTCTCAAGTGCTCATATGACACATTTTTACCGGTCCAAACTCTTTCAAGCACATCACCATTCAAAGGATAGGAATGAGACAAATTGATCATGTCAACAGCTATCCTCATTACCTCACTCCAAAAAGATCTTGGCAATTTAGCATGTGAAAGCAAACACCTTGTTCTTTCCACAATGGTGCGGTTCATCCTCTCAATAACACCATTTTTTGAGGAGTTTTCTTAACCGTCTTTTGATGCCGAATACCTTAGCTGCGACAATACTCATCAAATGGTCCAATGTATTCACCACCATTGTCTGTTCGGATGCACTTCAATTTATACCATAATTCTCTTTCAACCATGACTTGAAAATGCTTAAATGTATCTAGAACTTGATCTTTAGTTTTTAGTAGAAAAGCCCAAACTTTCCTTGAATAATCATCAATGAAAGTAACAAAATAAAGTTCAGCACATACCTCTCTTGCTTCAAACCCAACTCTTGCAAAATTTCTTCAACCAATAACTCTTCTTTGCAAGCTTCC